AGGCTCTATCCCCGCGCCCTCCTCAGGAACCCGCACACAAGGCGCTCTGCCTCCCAGGAGAGACGCAGCACCAAGGCAGCGTCCACCTTTGGGAACTGCCCCTTTTCTCCACCAGAAAGGTCTCTTTTAAATAGACATGAGGCTTTCAAATAATCTGAGCTATAGTTATTAAAATAATTTATGTGGCCAGGACCAGAAGATGGTTAAGTCACTGGACCCTCACATGACTGACCCCGGTTCAAGTCCCAGACCCAGAGGCTTGACACTCATGCATGTGCGTGCATACCCAAAATCCTGGGAGGAGAATGGAGAAGAGATTGCGGTGTGGCCATCTCCCCTGGGAGGTGATTTCTCGCTTTCTAGCTCTCTGTCTCTCTGGCAAGCACAAATACCGTATAGCAAAAAAAATTCTCTCTAAAAAAAATTAAATAATTTATGGCCCAGTCAGGTGGATATGATGGTTAAGGCAGCTGGATCCCACATGGTTCTGGACCTGGTAGCTTGAAAAACATGCTAAGCACATGTGTGTGCATATCCAAAATCCCAAGAGGAGAATGGAGGAGAAGAGACTGCAGCATTGGTATCCCCCCCCACCCCCGGGGTAATTTCTCTCTCTCTCTCTCTCCCCTCTCTGTCTCTCTCTGAGAATGCACATGCCCTGTGCCAAAAAAAAAAAAAAATCTGTCTGGGGCCTACACCTTTTATCCTTCATGATACAAGGAACTTTGAAGAGCTTGTGTAAAATGGAGTTGAAGTTTGAGTTTAACTGGGACCAGCAAATGGCACAGGTTACATCATTGGACTCCCACGTAGTTGACCACAGTTCGAGTCCCGGACCTGGCAACTTAAAATTCCCATTGGGAGCGTAGGTGCCCAAAATTCCGAGAGGAGAATGGAGGAGAAGGGACTACAGAGCGGCCATCCCGTGGGGGGCTGACTTCCCACTCTCTGTCTCTCTGGCGAGCACACATACCCTACAGCGAAAATGCCTCTCTCTCTCAAAACAGAAAGTATGTGTTTATTTTGGTGCAAAAAATGGATAAATCCATACATAGTTTTTCATAGTACCAATGTGTACAAACCTTCTGAAGGCCCCCACATATACGCCCTTTTTCTTGGAATGAGACGAACAGGGGCTTTTCCAGAAAGCCACGTAGGAGTCAGACACGGCGGCGTGACCCACCACCCTCTCACACGGCAGCCTGACTCACAGGAATTTACCTGCAGAAACTGTCAGTTGGGAATGAAGAGATACACGGGACAGCACACTGACGCTAGCCTTGTCTGTAATGGATACGAGGTCGCAAATGCGTTTCTCAGAAGAGCCAGTCACCACTCCTGGTGGGACGTGGGGTCTTGCTAAGAGACTGTGCCCTAAGCCTCGCCTGCACGGTCTCCTTCCTGAGGTGCAGCTTCAGCATCCCCCCGCACCCCTTTTGGAAAAAAGGGTCTGATCAGGGATATCCTGGTCCCTTAATCCCGGCTGGTTTAACGGCTTTATGAATTCCAGTCATGCAGTGTTTTTAAGTCACTTAAGTTCTTAAGTGATTAAGTCATTTCTAATTCCTAAACGCAAAGCAACACTTTTCTTTCTACTTAACAGAAACAGATCTCAAAGTAACTGCAGAGAATAAGCTTTCTGGACTGCTCGGTGCAGGGTTCCTTCCCTCACTAAGTCATGTGGATGTTTTCTGGTACCGACTATACACCACCCAGTCTTGTGTTGGAGCCCCGGGCCCTGCAGAGGCCGCTCCTGCCCCAGGCCCTGCAGAGGCCGCTCCTGCCCCGGGCCCTGCAGAGGCCGCCCCCGGCCC